TTACAAGAACAAGAGAGGAGGGGCAAAAGATTACAGACTAGCTTTGTCACTTTACTAGCCAGGTGACCTTACCCAAATCTCTTAACTTCTGTAGGTCTTCTCTGTTTTATTTATAAAATGAGGGTCACTCTAGCCTGTTACATTTATTATATAGACTAGATGCCAATTTATGTAAAAGTATTTGGCCCATAGTAGCAATTTAATCAGTATTTCTACTTAAGAAATTATATCCTAAATTTCATAAAATTATAGAGTGCTGTAATTATAAAGTGCCTTATAAAACTTGTACATGTTTTACAAGTAGGAAGGCCTAGAGAAAGAAGTCTGGGAAATATTCAAGGATCTTTCAGCCTATCAGTAGTGTATTCAGTGTGCTTGTTCTGTCTAATAGAAATACAATGCATAAGCCATACATATAATTTAAAAATTTCTAGTAATAATATAAAAAGGTAGAATGAAATAAGTGAAATTATCTTTAATAATATTTTATTTAACTCAATGTATGCAATACATTATAATTTCAACATATAAATCAATCTAAAATTATTAGTGAAATCTTTTCTTTTTTTGATTCCCAAAAATTTTTTTTTTTTTTTTTTCTTCCCACTTTTTTAAACCTTGTTTTTTTTTTTATTCTTCCCAAAACTTTTTTTCAAAGTAGCCACACTTCAAATGCTTCACCTGTGGGTTAGCAGTTATGGTGCAGGTCTAGTTTAATTCAAGCCAGAAAACATTCTGTTCATGTGTTCTGTGCCAGGCACTGTTAAATGCAGGGATATGAAGGTAAGCAAGCACACAACAGGAACAAGTAAAAAACTTTGAAACCACAAACCACAGTTCCCATCTAGGCTGCTGGATTACTCATTTGTTTCTTTGGTTGAGGGAGTGGAGAGGAAAATTCTCCAGGGAAAATATCTATATCTCCAAGGCATTTTCTTCCACTAAGATATCAGGAATAGAAAAACACCTATTTTTACTGAATTCTTACTGTGACATTATAGGCATTGTGCTGTATACTTGATAGGTATAACTGATTTATCCCTCAGAGGAACTGGGGGAGGACATTATTTTGCCCACTTTAAAGAGGAGGAAATAAAGACTCAAAGAGGTTAAATGAGTGTCCTAGGATCATACAATTTTCAGACATGAAGCTCGAACTCAATCTCTGAAACGAATCATGTTTAACTTGGTCAATGTCATTACATTGCCCTGGCTGGCCTTAAACTTCTGTGTCTGTTTCATTCTCCTAAGCAGCTGGGATTACTAATGCCACTGCAGCCACCTCAACAAATAATTTTTGAGCACTCATTGGGAACTGTTTTAATCAAGGAACATACAAGTTTGGAGAAATTAAAGAGAGGTCTGACCCATATGAGGATGTTGGTCCAGCAGCAGGCAGATATAAAGAAGAAAAATGCCAGGGAACCACCCAACCTTCAGGTAGCATTTAAGACAGAACCTCAGTTTTAGAGAAGTTTGACTTTCTGAGGTCATGTTAGGAGATGATACATGATGTTAAAAACCATGGGAATGAATGAAATGCCAAGGTACAAAGAAGAAAAGGCCTAGGACTAGGCACCAAAGAATATTGACATTTCATACTGAACAGAATAGAAGCACTTGAGAAGGAAGCCAGTCCTACTCCTGGCTATGATCCATGTCCTTCTCTGATACTGCATTGGCAACCACACAAGACGTCTGAGGCTGAAACACCATTCACATTCAACCTCACACCTCACCACAGCAGCTCAGGCCTCTACTCTGGTGTCTGCAGTCTTTACCTTGACTTTGACTTTAGTAACCTCTGTCCATTGAGGCTGGGAAGCAGTTTGTGAATGGATGGTGGAAGCACTTTTCAGAACCTGGTGAATGACAAGGTTAGGACAGAATGGAGTGAGACAGTTGGAGTGGGGTGGCCATGGAGGGAAGAAGGCCTTTTAGTCTGTGGGCTAGAAAAATGGAAAGCATACCTCAAAGGGAACCACAAGGTGTCACTGTTGGTCCTCAGTTGAACAAAACTGACTTGGGCAGGGACTTAGAAACTCTTTAAAGATCCCCTCCCCCCGTTTTTGGAAGATAAAGAAACTGAGGCACAGTTAACAGTTTTACTAAGATCATGTAGCAAGTTAGTGGCAGAGCAATTATGAGAATCCAAGCCTCTTCACTTTTGCACCAGCAGGAAAACCTTCCCCCATTGCTCCTCTCAGGTTCTTTGAGATGAGGATTAGTTGTCTTTACAGTCATTCACTCAAGACAATGGCTTTCGATTAGAAACAGCGTAGAGGGGGGAAACAGAGAGAAAAGAATGAAAAGAGCTCAGCGTTTACTTTCATGTGCCTTATTCAAAGTGTTGGGTTTATATGCCTGCTGCCCACAATGAGAGTGTGGTACACAGGGCCTCCATCTGTGGCCTGGTTTGAATAGCTGAATAGAAAAGTATCAGGTAATGGATTTCATTCTTTTTATGGCTTCAACTTTAAAAGAGTCTGGTTCCCAAGGAAAACAAGAAACTAGTGGCTCTGCAAAGAATTGACTGAAACCTAAGTAGGAACCAGATAAAAAAAACTTTTGCTGGATGGAAGGAAGAGGGTGAGTTTCTGGGCCCCACTGTTTGGGGATGGGAAACTGTGGGCAGAAGACCATTTGTGAGCCTGTGACCCCAGAATTGGCATTTATCCCAGTGTCTGGAAAGAATGAGGTAGTAGAGGGATCTTAAGGGAGACTTTGTCTCTCCCACCAGGTGTCTCATGAGGTGTCCCCCAGGTTCCTTGGTCTCACTCCCACTAAGCCTGTGATTCTTCCATTGTGGCTTCTAGTGGAGTCTCCTTTCTCAATGCCCAGGTAACTGTTTTTTTTTGTTTGTTTGTTTGTTTGTTTGTTTTTGTTTTTTAACTTTAAAGAGCTTTCTTACATAATAAAATCAATACATGTTCATTACCAAATTTCAGATACCAAGTAGTAGAAAGAAGAAAATTAAAAGCATCTGTAATCTCTCCATTCTGAAATCATCACTGTTAACTCATTGCTGCAAAGATTCAGAGAGTTGGCCTGTGGAGTACCTGCCTTGTGTCCTAAACGCTGGGTTTGGAGCAGTGACCAATCTTTGCTCTCACAGAATTTATATTCTAGCTGGAGAGACAGACAATACATCTTTTTTTTAAAAAGTTGAATATATAGGATATAGATTGTGGTAAATGGTATGATGACAGATGAGTCAGAGAAGGGGCTAAGGATTTTAATGATGGTGAGGTGGCAGTTTTAAATTAGGAGATTTACAAAGTGATGTTTGAACAAAGATCTGAAGTAGTTGAAGGAACAAACCAAGTGGATATCTGGGGGAAGACTCTGCCTTCTTTCCATTTTCTGTGAAAATATAATGCAATTATTATATAAGCAATATATGACTCTATACTTGACTTAAAATCTTCAGGATATATATGGGTAACAAGGGAATGTCCTTCTCATCAACTTCCTACTGTCTCTCCTCCCTCCAGGTGGACACTTTGACCACGGTAAGCTCTCTTCCTGAACTTTCTCTCTGCATTGACATTCATTTTTATTTATACCCATATATTTAACTCTTTTATTTTCTACATAAATAAGATCATACTTTGTGAAGTGATGCCTTTTTATTTTCAGCAATCAGATCCTTCTTATTATTTTCTAAACGTCAAAGACAGCTGTATATCTCTTTACTAAAATAAAATAGCTACATTTCATTGCTAAATGTGGGTGGATGTTTCACTTCCGCCCCTGGGCTATTAAGCTAGTATTCACAGCATTATATTGTAATAATTTGTTTCTGCCTCCTTGAAAAAAAGACAGTGAGTTCTTTGTGGGCAGGCATTATGTTTTCTTATCTCTTAATTTCAGGGCTTGGTACAATGCCTAGTACATGGTGAGCCTTTAGTAAATTAGTACATAGTAAATCACAGTTTCATAACTTTACCATTGAAGGCTTCCAACACTGGGTAGGATATTAGTTGAAATCAATTCTATGTTCTATCATAATGGAGTCCAATCTATCTCTATTGAAAAACATGTGTTACTATAGGATACAGCTGCTCGGGGATGACCAGGATGACTGTGGTCAGATCCTTCAAATTCAATAGTACAATTTTACCATTAAAACATTGATTGATGAGAGCTATATTTTACTCCTCCTGCTGAAAGAAAATTAAAGCTTAGTGAGGGCACAAATATGCTAAGCCCGTAATATAAAACTTCTCATTCAAAGTATACAATAGTTCAATGAAGTAGATGTTATTTTGTGGATGAGGAAACCAAGAATCAAAAAGAGAAATGTGGATATTATGTGGTTCCATTCACTTACTCACCATCACCATCAATTTTTATCAGATTTTAACATTTCCCTAGATTTGCTTTAGATTTTTTTTTCTGCCTTTGAAATAAGACATTTTGTATGAATAAATCCTGAAGAGTTGGGCTCACGAATTTAATTGCAAACACTGGGTGGCATATTTAAAAAGCCACTTAGAACTATGTCACTTTAGTCAATATTAATTAAGTTTTGATGCTGACCTTGTGGAAACAGAATGGAATGAAGCTCAGTCATTCTCTCAGGGGACTTTCTGGTGGAGGTAGCAGATATATAAGATTTTACGGCCAAGAAACTAAGGCCAAAGAGAGGTGGTGACCCTCCTACAAAGCAAAGCCAGGTTTGCAGGCTAGGGGTAAGACCAAGCTGCCCTCGGAGCACTGGGGAGTTCCACACATCACTACTCTGTGGCAATGTGGTGGTTCCCCAAGGGAGGTTTCTCCTCGAAGTGGTTCCAGTCAGCAAGAAGAGTGGGCTTGACACAGTCAAGCAGAATCTGTGAGAAACATGCACAAGGGTTTTCCTCTCTCTCCACTAACCATCTTTTTGCTTCAAAGAATTAAATTCTTTTCTGGTGACACATACTTCCTGTCAGAATGAGGCACACCCAGCCAGGAAAAAAAAAAAAAAAAGGAAAGAAAAGAAAAAAAAACACCCAAAATAAATGAAGAAAATTCCTTTTAATTCCTCTAGGTACAGTTTTTATTTCTGCTGGATTGTTGCCATTTTCCCAGGGGCTAAGCCAGAAGAAGTGGATTTGGGGAACAGCAAATTAGAACAACACCCTAAAAAGAGTAACAAGCACTGACATTAAAACACGCACTATTTATGATCTCCAATTACATTTCCATATTCTTACAAAAGCAATTCATTCTTATGATAGAAAACTACAAAATTTGTATTTTTTTTAAATAAAGGAAACCAAAAATCATCTATAATCTCTCAGTCCTAAAAACAATCATGGTTAACCTTTTGATGTATATACTTTCTTTTATATATATATTTTTGGTATATACTTTCTTTAAAAAATCATATTTATATGCATGTTTTATCCTACTCTGCACAACTTTGTGTATTAAATATTTCCCCATTGTGTTCTTTGAGACATAATTATAAATGGCTATATAACATTCAATTATGCAATTACTTTGTGATTTAGTTGTTTGATCTGTTGTTGGACATTTCAACTTTCTTTTTTGTTTTGGTTATTATATTATTATAATTCCAAGTAGATCTTTGCATTTTTGAGTGACATCACTGGCTTCTTTTCTTACATTATCTCAATACCTCATTATAAGTCTCTAGAGTAGACATTATCATTGTTTTTGTGAAGAAGAGAGTATGGAACTATCTTAAGTTCAAAGCCAGGTTTTGACCTTAGTTCAAACTTCTGAGTGAGCACTACCCATTACCACATGCTGTATGTGCCTGGCTCCCTCTACCTCATGTCAGGTGTTCTGTCTTAGAGCATCATTACCTGCGATGGAAGCGATTTCTTGTACACGTCTATGTCCAAAATCAGTCACACAAACGAACGTAATCTTGATCTCACTCCTTTCTTGTTCCCATGGATTCCCTGGTCCCTTAGTAAGATTCAGGACTTTCCAATTAAACACTCCATGATAAAGTTTCCAGGCAGCTGGGCTGTTGTGACTGATGGTTCCCAACTGCCGTGCCATATGTTCTCTTCTGCCTTGTTTTCAGCTGTTCTCAGGCAGTCTGTGAGAGTAATCAGATGTCTCCACATTGTAAAACTGGATCCTGATATATTCACTAAAGCCCTCCTGGTTATTTGTGCCACATTTGAATTTCCATTTTTACTCCCCAAATTTCCAAGATCTGAGATGCTCTCAGCAATTAAGCACATTCTAAACTGAATACTAGACTTTAAAAAACACATAGAGCTTAAAAAGTTCTTTTGAGTTCCAGAGTTGGAATTGTCTAATTGATATACACAATCAAATATTTTGAAATATAACATATCCAAATCAAAGTTCTGGATGTTTTAATCTCAAACCTGTGGTGGGCATTGTTGATTCTCCAACCAGTATCCAGCCATTCCCTGCCTCCTTCTTAGTTCACAAAAACTTGATTTTGTTTAGGAGTAACGTACCTGGACAAGAGGTTAAACCAGGATTGGTTTAAGCCTGTCTTAACCATCTCAGGCTTGTTTGCTGGATATTTATATTGCTGGCCTCCAGCAAGTGGTGATCAGTGAGACTTAAAAGAAGTCTGCTAAAGAACTTCCAGACCTAAATTTTCCTTGAAATAAAAGAGAACCTGCATTAACATTTCTTGCTTAACATTTCAAAACATTTTGGCCTCATCTCTTACTCTAGTCATCCCTGTGGCAATCAGTTCCTTGCAAGATTTTACTGGTGTAAAACGGGTGTGTCTTCAGCCTACAGCTGAGTTCTTCTTGCTTTCTGCACTAAGGTGCCTTATCTACCCAGCTACAATCCACTCCAATCCAAGAAAGCATCATTGAATAGCCTCTCAGTTTATCTCATTTTTTCAATTCTTGCCCTTTCCTCAATCTATTCTCCATATCACAGTCAGACTGATCTGAACCAGGAGTGGTGGCACACACCTATAATCCCAGTGACTCAGAGGCTAAATCAGGAGGATCACAAGTTCAAGCCAACCTCAGCAACTTAGCAAGGCCCTGAGTAACTTAGTGAGACCCTGTCTCAAAGTAAAAAATTAAAAAAGGGTTGGGAATGTGGTTAATTGCCCCTGTGTTCAATCCTCCAGTACAAATATAACTTGAACCATGGTAATTCAAACTTTTGCTTCAGCACCTTTGAGGACTTTCTATTACATTTACTTGAGTAAAATCCAAACTCTTATTTTTGGCCTGCAAGAAACCTTGCATGATCTGGCCACCTGCCCACCTGCTAGTCTTTGTTTATCTTACCGTCCTTGCCAAAGTGGGTTCCTAGGTCTTACATATTTGAAGACTTCACTGTGCACATCCTTCTACCTTTGTACACCTTCCCCCTAATATTCTTGGTGGCTGGATCCTTCTTATCTGCCAGAGGGCAGTTTAAATGTTACCTTTTAGAGAGTATTTCCCTTACTACATATCCAGGATTAAGCAAACCCTATTATTCTTTATGAACACATCTTATTTGTTTCTTTCATAGCACTTAGGTTAAGGGGCAATTCCATATTTGTTTGTTTATTCTTTAATGGCTTGCCTCCCTAATTAGTTTAGAGCTACTTAGAGCAAGGACAAGGTTTTAATTCACAACAAACATACAGATCCTTTTACAATGCCTGCCTTAAAATATGTACTCAGTAAATATTTATTGAATGAGTGAATAAATGGTAATGATAAAATAACAGTTGTTCTTTAACGAGTACTTTATTTGTGTAATCAAATTCTGGCTTTGTCACTTTTAACTTTTTTAGCTTAGGCAAATATTCTAATTTCTGTTATCTCAGTTTTCTCATGTTATGCATGGTTAATAACAGTTCCTACATAAAAGAATTGTTAGATGTATTATATTATTAATTACATATAAATCACTTCCAACAATGTAGTAATAGTAAACATTATGTAAATGTTTGACTGCTTTTGCCTTTGTCATCATTGTTAGTATCTCTGGCAGAGATGGAGGCTCAGAAAGATTAACCTAGAGTCATATAGCTCACAACTGGCTGCTTGGAATTCAAACCAATGGGAAATGTGAATTAGAAAATTGTGAAATATTTTGAGGCCAAAGTTATTGATAGATGCTATTAAAAGTTTCTGCCACCATGTTTTTGCCAGTTGTTTACTTCTAACTTCTTTTGAGAACATAACCAGATGGCACTTTTTTCAAGGATATTCACATAAAAATGGAGACAAAAATGGCTAATATACAGATGCTCCTTGACTAATGTCCCATTAAAGTCATCTAAAACAGAAAAAACTGTAAGTTGACAATGCATTCATTTGAACATCATTGCAGAGCACCACAGTACATCTGTAGCACTGGCCCTTAACCTTCGTGATTGCGTGGCTGCCTGGGAGCTGGTGTGTGCTGCTGTTGCAATTCAGCATTGTGAGGGAGTATCAGACCACACAGAGCTGGCCTGGGAAAAGATCAAAATTCCAAATTAACAGATTGATTTCTACTGAATCATACTGCTTTCACACCATCATAAAGTCAGAAAATCAGGAGAAAAACATCCCAGGACAGGACTGCTTGTAATTATGTTCTTTGACAATGGTGTGGTACAGAATTATGAAATGTATATGTGGAAACCAAGTGATGGGCTTTGAAGGCATCTGCTGACACAGACTGATGTGCACTTCCTCACTTTCTGTTTTCTTTTTAACCTTCTCCAATCTGACTTCTTAAGCCTCCACTGAAACTTCTTCCACAAAGGTCACTGACGTTCCTAGTACAAATTCAGCTTACCTGATCAATTGGAGGTATCTGATGTTATTAACCAACAGCACTCTACTCTGCCACCACAACTATTTTCCTGCTCCAGTGACTCTCTTTACTCACCTGGCTGTCCTATCACTTTCTGCCTCTTCCCCAGGGTTCAACTACTGGTCCACTTCCCTCTCACACTTTCTACTTTCTCCTGGAAAAACATCACCCAAGATTATTGCTTCACTACTCACTACAACCCACATAAATAGAGACCCAGCAGTTCTTGGCATTTTAGTCCAGACTTAATTTCCAGCCACTTTATTGAAGTGGAATTTAAAGATTCTGGAGCTCTCACATACGAACTTTCCTTTTTCATCCAATTACTGCTACTATGTGAACATTCATCACCTTTTCCCTGAGCTGCTGCCATATATGTTGATTGTTTCCTGTATCCCTAGTTTCATTTCCAGCCCATTCTCAATATTCCTGTAGAATACATTCTAAATCTATTCTGAAAATCTAAAGTTCCACTTTTTCTTTTTTTTTTATTGTTGGTCGTTCAAAACATTACATAGTTCTTAATATATCATATTTCACAGTTTGATTCAAGTGGGTTATGAACTCCCAATTTTACCCTGTATACAGATTGCTGTAAGTTCCACTTTTTCTGTTGACAAAATTAAATTGTGGGGCACAGGGGTCCAAAAAAAAAAAAAAAGGAGAAAGCAACTGAGAGGGAGACCAAAATTTAATGCATGAAACTACCCAAGTCTCAGGCTGGTACCTGAACTCTGTGTGGGACAGATTCCAAGCAGCCCAGCTAGGGCCTAAAGAAGTGAAGAGATTTCAGTAGGTACTTATTTTAGGGAAACATTTGGAGATTGAATTTAATCATATTAATTGCTTACTAAAATAAAAGTAACAACTTTTGGACAAATGTAACAAAAGACTTATAAAGTCCAAGACAGGATTCAAAATTACTCTAAAGTAACAGGAAAACATTATTTATACTTAAGACAAAAGGCAGTAAGTAGAGGCAAACTCTGAGATGAGTCAGATGTTAGATTACAGAAAGAATATTAAAGCAGCTATTTAAAACTAAGCTAGGGACATAAGGAAAGTATACTTGTAATGAATTAACAAACAGGAAATTTCAGTAAAGAAATAGATTTTTTTTTAAAAAAAGAACAAAATAGAACTGAGTCATATATAATTAAAAAATGCAACATCAAAATAAGAAAAATTGGATGAATTTCAGAGGAGATTACAGATTCTAAAAGAAAGAGTCAGCTCCAAGACAGGACAATAGATTTGCAGAGCAGAGAATAACAATGTATATATAATTGCCAAAAATAGGTGATAAAAAATGGGACAGAAAACATTTTTGAAGAAATTTTGCCTCAAAGCTTTCCAGATTTAATGAAAGACATATATTTGCAGATTTAAGCTCAGTGAATCTTCCAAAAAGGACAAATACAAAGGTAAGCATCACATAATTTAGTGGTAAACAACAACAAACAAAACTATAATTCTACTATGATTCTATCTATAATCTTCTGGTGCATGGCCTTCTTCTTCCTTTTTCTGCTCATTTCCACCCATATTGCTGCCCTCACCTCTTTGGAGATACAGAAACAAAACCACTTTAAGATCTATTTATTTTTAAGTCGTGGTGCATGAATTCAAGCAATATTGTTGGTTCTATGATGATTTTTTTGAAACTGCAAAAACAAGTTTGTGGATGTGATGGAAAGGGATGGGATGGATTTTTTTATTGGCTAATTATATAGGAAATACTTTCCTCTTTCTTTTCTTTTTTATGACATTTCAATCAATCACTAATTAATTTATTTATCTTGAAAATTGTTTGATCACCTGCTGGGGCAGGCACTGAGGACATGATAACACATAAGAAAATCTTAGCCATTCAGATCTTATCATATAATGATCCATATTTTGGTCACTTTCGAATTCATTACTTCTAAAAATGATTTATTGTTTTTATTTCTTATTATAACAGCAATACACAGGACATTCAGAAGATATAGGAGAGCAAGGGTAAGATATTTCATTGTGCAGTAATTATTCATTGAACCCATACTTTATGGCAGGAACTATCCTTAGTATTGGGAACATGGCTTTAAAAAGAAAATTATTCTCATCCAAATAAATGAGATAGGCAAGAGGAAAACAAACAAAAAATGTATAATACTCAAGATGGAAATTTCAAGAAAATAAAAGTATCACTGGACGAAATAGAATGATAGAACATTTAGAATGCTAAAAGTGGGCACTCAGAGGAAGTCTTATTTAATTGAAAAAGAATTAG